TAGTTTATTATTCTTAGGAATTTTTACCTTTTAGCATTGCTTTATTGTAAACTAGTTGAGAAAATGGTTTGATTACAGTTCTCAATCGTTTTGAACACGGGGATATTATTTGACAGTAGAATCAAATTAATCACCATTGAAAACAAAATTGCATTGGATGCTTATTTCATCATTGTTCGGAATATACTCATTCATATTATTCAACAATGAATTGGTTACCTGGACTAAGTTAGAACATGTAAAAACAGTACACTGATTCACTTCTTCACAAAACAACATGGAAACCAAAGAAATGATGAGTCAGATTACTAACTAGAAGCAGAGAAATAACACCCGATGGAGGGTATGGATTAACTATGTTGCATATTCACATACTGTCGCTAACCACTAGTTTCTAACTGTCCAACTAGTGAAATGAATTTTTGAGTGGGGATGAACTCCACACTGTCAAGTCATCTAAGTGTATAGCAGTCAGTAGTAGCAGTTATGTCTTGGTTTATTTGGTCACTTATTGTAAATATTTCGTAATGATTTCTACCATAAAATTAATTGGCATATGTAGATTACGAGAGCGAAACTAATAATACTCGCTTCATTTTGATTAGTTGCCAGGCGCAAGATCAAAAGGGCAAATGACAGTGAAGTTTATCCTCAGTCGAATGTGCTTCATACCAGTAGTTACTTATTTGGTGTGCTAGTAGTATATCTCGATTTGACTATTATGAAGTCTTTTCATTTACGACGACAAAGGATATTCAACAGAAGCGAAATGAAATAAATTTTGCGATAATACTTGAATATTGATTAAGTTTAAATTTCAGTGTCCATATACTTTGTGTCTAATCGATTCACGTATGGAACCGTAAGTCTTTTACTACATTAGATGTAGGATTCAGTCTTCTGAAGAAAGACTCAGATCTAAGTTTATCCGGAACAGCAACAATGACCAACAATAAAATAAGTGAGAACACTAGAGGAACTGTCTAAAAACGTTTAGCATGCACTCCAGTATTTTCAATATAATGTTCTGTCGGTATACGTTTTTCATATAGTTTCTGCAGATTTGCTTTGGCTCCAAATTTGAAACAGTTCTGCACACACCATCATTGGTTGCAGCATTAGGACGATAGACAAGATGGCCGTCATGACAGTGTCAATAAAAGCTGGTGTAACAGTATGTGGCGAATGATACTCACGTAATGTGTCAGAAATATGTATGTAAAATTATATGGATCCGGATGATGTGATTTCACCTGGATATACTATGATTGCGTAGACTGAGCTGTTTCGTGCATATTTCAAAGTGGATTGATGCATAGTTCATACTAAACTCGATTTTTTGAAATTCACTTTAATTGTTATGAGGTAAAGAGTGGAGCTAGTTGCCATAGCAGTTTCTGTGATTACCTTTTTGTATTAAAATGTTGACCACACTTGGCTTTTGTTTCCTCGAATGTTTGTTCACAGAGCTGGACAGTCTTCTTGTTGTGGAATGACTCAAATAAAAGGCTTTTGAGATTTCGTGACCGATGGTTTACTTTTTGCATTTATCATTTGAAAGTCACTTTTAAAACAGGTAAAAAAAATAAATTTACATATAAAATTAATAAAATTGTAACTATTTATTAATCTACAAAATACTAAAAGCATTTTAGTTGTATATGATATACTTATGCCTGAAATGATGACGGCATTTACTAACAGGGCTTTCTCGTCTTCATTAAGCATTTAAAGAAGCGCAAACTGACTAAACGAGTATTAATTTATGTGAAGAAAATGTACAAGTCACTAAGCTGTGTGCGAGAAAAGAAACCATCCATCATATTCTGACGGAGTACAGTTCAACTTCTAGGGTTAGATTTAGTTTATAATCTAGCTCTTTTAACGCTCACAAAATATTGATGTGAACAATTAGATGCAGGTCACTTTATTGGTGGTTGATCGGTTCTTGGGCATAGTTATATAAACGTCATTAAATTGACCCAAACTGATTAACTTGGCTGGTTTGTTATCATGTCTCGGTCTGACTAAATTAGTGTAGTTTACTTCAGAATAAATTATATATGAACATGCGCAATACATGTACAGACAAATAAAACCCTGCAAAATGACATCTGCATTTCCAACTTATCGGCATAAGACAAGTAACTAATGCTGGTTTGGACAATATATTTATGGTCTCATCTAAACATTAAAGAAGGATTATTTTATAACTTCATATCACTGAATTACATGTTGAAATAGTGATTCAAAATTCAATATTTCAACAGTAACTGTAAAAGGGAATTGAAACACTGTCAAGATTGAGTTCAATCTATATTGTTAATAGTCGGCCATAAACAAGTCATCCAATATCGGTGAACATTTATATTGCGGTTAGACTGATAATTGTTATATAATCACTTGATTCTTGATAAAGTAGAATATTTCAAAACAATGTTTTCATCATAAATATCTATCGAAAACTTAACAACAGCATCAATATCAAGATTGGACATGATAGTTTCAAATAAATTGAGTATTGGGTGGAAAGTTAATGACAGATAAATATATTTTTGTTATGTCCCAATGAGTAGAAAAATGGTGACTTACATTAAATCACGAAATGTCAGAAATACAACAAAAATATATTTATTATTGACAACAGCGTTACTGTTATGATAACTATAAGAACCTTGTAGTGTTCTCATTTTTCCATATATGGTGTTCTATGAGCGTCCTTATACTGAGTAAACCTTGAAATAACAGCATAAATACAGTACTTGTTCCAGATACAATTTTCGGATCATCCTAGATAGTTACGATAAAAATATTTTGTACACACCATTCGCAAAGATATGAACATAGCCTACTGTGAGAATCTATATCCACTATAAATTAAACATACTACTAATAAGATATGATTTATTTGTGAAATTTGTAACAATTAGTTATTAATATGTAGGAATCTTTCACTGGAAACATCTCACTACACTATATTTAATATGATCTAAGCACACAAATGATTGTTATATGGACAGGTGAACCTAATTGTTTCATATTTAACATCTTATTGAGAAAAATGCTAAATACGGAATAATGGAACATATATATGATACATACAGGATCACACCATGAGTGGAATAGATGCACAATCAAATGAATCTACGATCGATGAAACATGTATACAGTACTACTAAGAAAAACTTGAAAATCAAGCATAATTAAGTGACCTTGGAATTGAGCACTTGTAAAATAGCCGTGAGGTAAGAGAAAAACTATTGTTGAGTCGTAAGAAATACAAAAGTAAACTCTGCTGTGTGATACACTAATTAAGTAGGTGACTCACTACAACTTCTCAATGTTATTTAACCGATTTGACATCACGTGTTCAGCCAAATTATAACTATTAGCTAGTGCTTAAACGATGCATACACTAATTGGTGAAGTTAAAGGGACACAAAACAGTGGACACCATGGCAACAATCTCATTCACTTCATTAAATGAAATATTCTTATTTAAAGAAAGCCTAATTTCACATGAGTCAGTTTAAGGTAACTAAAAAAATTAACCTTATAAAATAAACAATAAATTCCAAACGGAAATAACTCGGACGGTGACTAATGCATAAAATAATAAATTCAGTATAGTAAGATATAGATCAACGTTCCTACGGTTTTAAGCAACATAATGAGTAGAAAACTAACTGGAAACAACTTTGATTCCTTTAAAATATGCACCTGATTTCTGCTATTACTAACCAAAAAGGGGTTGGCCGAAATAATCTGAATTTACTAAGAGAATCAGATAAATAAGAATTTAAGTAACATGTAAAGGTCGATATAAAAATTATCATCTGGAGAATCTGCAAATGTGATTATTGTTGTTTAAACTTTTTATAGATATAATTGTCTGCCTTCCGCTCTCCGATGATAACACTAGGATTTTCAGACTAATAATGCTTTCTGATAATAAATACATTAAGTTAGGGTCTCAGTGCAAGCATTAACACTGTCTCGGATTACATTGATAACCTTGATGCAAATTTATTAAGACTTGTAACTAAATGAACTACCAAGCTAATCAGCTAAGAATGCATATATGTTAGTAGAGATTGAGCAAATGTAGCGCTAATATCGACAACGGGAAAACTCCAACTCATCCACTGAAATTTAGTTTAAGAATGACGATATTCGGCCAGTGTGACGCCTTTGTTCAAAACGGTTCGTGAAACCATATGTGCTGATATTTACAGAACTCTAGCACCATACAGCACCTGCAAGTAACCCGCTGAGTCTCGCACAACGTTTATGCTACACAGTATTCTGGTTTGTTCTGTTTTAGATAGGAAGTAACACGCATGTCATAGGTGTCAGCACTAGCTTGTTGTGGAATCGAAAAATATATTAAAATGCAGTTAAATGCTGACAGGATGGGGAGTTCCGGATACGTAACGCGACATCTCAAGATCACAAGGTCTGTGGCTTGTCCATTACTTCGATGATATATATATATATATATATATATATATATATATATATGCATGAAGCGTGTATATCAGTATTCGATTTATAACATCGAGATTATAACGCATCCGTACTCTGCATAGCTGATTAGAGAAGCTTTAGGAAGCATGTAATAGTCATTGAATCAAAGCAAAGGCCATAATCGACATAATGTTTTGGGTAAAGCGGATGCATTAGAAGTTATGAGTGGAAGCGGCGAACCATGAAGAGAATATGATTTTTATTTTCTCTTCAAATCTTTCCTTTGGCGATATAGTGTGTAGCTACTGAACTGACACATTTACTCCAGGTGCTAAGTTATTGGGAGTCCATTCAAGTGATGTCCACAAACATGGTTACAGTTTATCATAGGAATCAGTTCAGCACGTAATTTTATACGCAGGCTTTTTCTCTAACAATCATATGAGAAGTAGGTATAAAGGCAGTATTTTAATATATCAACTATTTTAGTCGATACAAACTAACAATAAAATCAATCGATTTGTCCCGTTAATATTCAAGTTTTATTTAAATTCAACATTACCCACTGGGTAGAGGATACTGAATACCGAAACAAGAATAATAAGCATTTTGGTTAGGTAAAAGTGAACCCAAGTTAATTGTGGACATTACATTTATACTCACATATACACAAAAAACAAGACAATCATTTAGTAAAATGTACCATTAAAATGATGTAACTAAAAGCTAACAATAAACATGTAAACAAAACAAAATAGGTGAACAATTCTAAAGATGTCATTCATAAACAAGCAAGAAAGAGCACACCAGATGTGCTTTATTGTAAAACACTTAATAAACAAAAATAGTATACAGTAAGTTAACCAAAAAAGCACTGAACTAAATTTCTATCATAAATTGCTGTTATACATCGTTCAAATATAGACACATGTAATTATGGAATAAAAAAATGACATTTCAAATTACATTCAGTTAAACCATATAGGGGACATAAAAAAAGCTAAAATAAAACAAACTATTCATAATGGTTTTTGTGAAAAATGTTAGTCACCGGCTACCATATGACTGCATCTTTTTACGTTACTCCACTGCCTTGTGGATTAGACCTCCAGATCAAAGGCTCCGGGTGTAACCTACTAAGAAAACCACCTTCTTCTGTCTGGGCAGTATCACAATCCACACACAAATCAACTGACTTGTGTGTCGCAAATGTATTCGGTGCCCCTAGTACCAATATTTATGTGTTCAAATAGGTGAATAAGAATTATTACTATTACTTAGTGAATTACTTACCAACTTGTTCATAAGATATTGTTTAACTTACTACCTATGAATTGATAAATGATAGCGTGGTGTGTGTTACTGATGTCGACAGATATAAGTAGTACGTGTCACCAATCAAAAGTGAAATGCATGACGGCAGAGGGTCAAGAAGATCGAAGAAAAGAGAACGAGAACAGAGAGTAATTGGTGTGAAAACGAAGAAACAATCAAGTCTGAGACAATTGATAGACATTTTGCAAGTGGAGTATTTGCTGTATGATTCTCGAATTTTACTAAGAGATTTTGTAATTTTATATTCACATGTATTTGGTTGTCTCCACTGGTGTTCTCGTTCACTACAATACTTTCTTATCTAACTATATCTCCTCTAGTGTTGACTGATCACAGAAATGTATAATATTTGATGGAAAATTGACGAAAATGTTGAACTGAAACGAAAAACATTTATTTTGTTTAGAATCAAATTTATCTCTATATAAAATGTAAACCGCACAATAAAAAAAACAGACAAACAATAGAACGGATAAATAATAATCCGATAAAATAATGAACATAAGTACAAACAAAAAAAATATTAAAGAGGAAAATATAGATACAAGTAATACAAATATATAATAATGAACAAACGGACGAACACCCATCTGCAGGTAACTAAATAACAAAAGAAAAAAGAGAATGAATTAACAATAAAACGTAATAGATTATGCCTTTGTTATTTTATACAAGTTTTAAGCCAATCTATTTTCTTCGCAAATATGAAGCACGTATGTGCGACCAAATATGATAACGTTTTTTTATAGATATGCATATTTCTGACGATTCAGGCATAAACCGCCTGTATAGTTTATGTGAATTTAATTTTTTATTATTATTAAGATCAGTATTATTAATATCAACAGACGGAAGACTATTTGCTTCTGACTGAAGTCGTTTGTGTACAGCTTCAGTTGCTGCGGAGAAACTTGGCCATAAACCTAAAAAGAGATAAAAGAAAGGCTGGCTAATAAACTACTTAGGAAGTAATTAACAAAGATATCAACAGTAGTTTCACAAACTGGACAACCATAATCAGAATAAGCGTATTCATCCTAATATCACAAAAAAAACACATTCATCATTTCCAAAATGATAGTGATTTGAAGACATTTATCAGTCTCTGTGATCTGAGTGTACCTAACGTAAGAACGTTATGCGAAATTTCAGTAAACATGTGATTTTCATTTAGAATTAATACAGTAATGTTTTGTTCTGTATGATATTTCTTGATATAGATGACGTAGAAAGCTTAGATAATTAGTTTGACTTATATTTAACTGCGATGAAAAACATTGTAATAGCGGGAAATGACAATAGACCGGAATAATCGTGTCTTATGCCAAAAATATTTTCCAATGACTTCATTATGAAATGAAATCTCCAAAATTTATCACGAAATAAAGCACACTTCTAAAGACGTTTTCTCCATTCTACCAACATTATATTCCCGTAGGTCATATGACATGTTAATCACATTTGTATTTGTTAACTAGGAAATGTAAAAGGTGCACATGGCATATAATAATTGACGATTAGCGTTACTGAAATATGTTCTAACAGTGTTATGAATAAAAAGCCTTGAAAATTGTAAATGATGGATGTAGAGGGGGAAAATTTTGTACATCATTGTGAAGATCTGTCATCCCCTTTAACTTTACGTTACTGTATTCAAATTTCGATGTTCATAGTTGAAAGTCAAAATTTTATGTTTTGATGAGGATTTGTTTATCTATACATCATTGATGGTTCAGGTGAGATTCTGAAACGGGAAAAACGACCTAAGAAAAGCTTCAATAAACAGCCACTACGTAATAGCCTACTGTCCACAAACTCAAATTAGCGTGAGAGCTGCCGATTATGAGTACAAAAAGATGATGTTTCATATTCTCTTTATATGTCGAATGTAGTTCATTTAAGTTCATGGTATTTAATACCTGAGATAATGTTATGTACTTTGATATGTAAAAAGCTTCTGGCAAGAACTAGCTTCGGTCATTGCTACCGACACAATATATTAACAAATACTGAATAAGCCCCAGTGAAACACACTATTGTGATACTTATTTATTTATTTTAACACATAGATATTGGTACAAGGAGGCACCAAATACATATGTGCCACACAAATCACATTTGATATGTGTGAGGGCTGTGATACTGCCCGGGTGCCCAAACCGAAGCAAGTGGTTCTCTTAGGGGGACCCACAACCGGAGCCTTCGACTGGAGGTCTGATTCACAAGGCAATGGAGCATCTTAAAAAGATGCAGTCCCACAGTAGCCAGTGACCAACGATTGGTTCATACGCCATTTGTTCCAACACGATACTGCAGCCCATGTGCACCATTGGTTTGGAATCAGGGTTTTTCAACTCACCTAGGTGGACTTTCCATGTCCACCAATCCGGTTAATGCGCCGGACATTCGCTTTTCGTCCTCTTAATTTCGTAAACAACATCCCCGCCACGATAAGGCAATGAGTAGGACTTCCCTGGCAGAGGCTATATACGCGTGGCCATGTGAGAGCATTTCGAGAGGGAGAGCGGATTCTCCCCACCCTCGAACGTACCAGGGCATTTGGGACAATTATTGTGATACGGGAAAAAAATATTTAACTTTTCAGTATAGGGTTGTAGAGATTGCTGAACTTCATTGCAATTATGAACCAATGTTAGACCATTAATAGCCCAGAAGGCCGTTCCGTCCCAGTCTGAGACTCCTCAGTAGTAACTAACCACGACACCGCACGAGAGAATAGAAGTCAAGACCTTAGGTTTCACGCGTGAACACTTAGCTCCCAAACCAACGAGTGGGCATCCAACGATGTTATTGTCTAACCTAAATTAGTCCACGAGGGAAGTTTACGGAGTTCTGGAGAGGAGCCATGACCCGTGGAGTCCAATCCATGTCGGGTGTGAAACAGTTATCCACCTAATGTTGTGGATTGATTGAGGTTAGACATCAACACCCTCGTATAGACTCATTGGTTTAGGGAGTAAGTGTTCGTGCGTGAGACCGAAGATCCCGACTTCTATTCCCATGCGAGGGGTTTTGGTTAGGAACTACCGAGGAGTCCCATACTGGGACGAAACGACCTTTCAGGTCTTTTGGGCTTTTAATGATGGTCTAACACTTATTGATTTACAATTTCAATGAAAAATATTGTAAATTTTCTGATTCTTCATATAAATTTCGAAAGTGGGGAGCGAAAAATGTTTCATTTGAATGGAATTAGAATTAAAATGAGATATATGTTTAATGTTAAATTCCTATTCATCAATGTTAGGGCAAACACGTAATATGCTACGTATAAATTAATCTCCGTTCAAATTTAGTAAGGAAACAGGTTGAATACATTTCTTTTTAAAAACAGTATATTAACAGAAAAATCGAGTGATTAACACTGTCTTTTGTGTGAATGCAACTTAAAGTGTCTAAACCACAAAATTTAGAATAAAATTCTAACTTGTGACAAAATAAGTGAAAAACAAATGTCGGAAACAACAAGCCAGAAATATACATATAGAGAAATATTGACAAAATCTAGAGTGGACCATCTCACTTCTCCAAATACGTAACCTAATTCGTCTAAAATGTAATGAAGAACAGAAAACATATGGGGAACATTGAGTGACCTGACTGTAATCTTGGTGTGATTTTATCACGAACTAGTGAACAAGCAAAACATTGAAAGCCATACTTAGTGGTTAAGATTCAGTCTCAATATCTATCCATAAGAATTGAAACAATATAGCAATATGTTCATGAAACTATTTATATTATGTTTGTAGCAAAATAAAAAATATTTTTGGATAATCATGAGCAATCCAATGAAACAGTACACAATATGGTACATATATATAATACATTTGAAAGCCTATTATAAATAATTTCTGGTCTTAAATATTAAATTGCATTGAATCTACGCTTAGTACCACTAATTGTTGTCAACCGGTTCATATTTCTTCTTATATTCTCCTACAGATTCTTTCACGTATGCTTCTCTGAATACTCGTCCAACATATACAGTGAGAATCACAACCTATCAACGACTGAGTGTTATATATATTGAAAATATTAATTACTGCTGCCGTTGTTATTCAAAACTAGTGATTCGAAATTATTCATTTAGGATGGCAGTGACAAAAGAACTTTCTATCGATGTTTGCTTCTGTATAGCACACAAGTGTATGCAAGAATATTAGTCAGAAGTTTGAGCTTCTTAGGAATTACTATCGGAATACAATTATAAAATATATGTCGAAAAATAGTTGATGAATTTACCTGCACCGACACCAGCAACAATTGCTGCACCCATACAACTACATTCTTCAAGACCTCTGCGTTCCACTGGGATTCCGATTACATTAGATATACGCTGTAGCAACCAATTTGAACGTGCCACATTTCCATTAACATAAAGAATAGAAGGAGAAATGCCTGGAGGAAAGGACGGAAAAATTAAATATGAGAATATAGTATTCATCAAGTTTGCATATTAATAATTCATTTACAAACAGACAGATTATGATGTCTATTTTGTGTGACTTCACGATCGTAGTTGAAATGTCTGGGACTCAAACCACACTATTACATTGATAAGAGAGATCAAAATTTTTAAGCATTGGAATAAAATACATACTTTCAACAGACATTAACTAACAAAGTCGGATAATCAATCAACTACAAAACATTCACACCTTAATAACAGATAGCTTGAAAGAAATTATGGGTCTATAGGGTTTCAAGATAATAAATGAACAGAATTTTCGCTACTAAAAATTTTGAATGTGTGTGGTGAGCAACTATAAGAGAAACTATAAAAAGATATATTTAGTAAGGATAAGATAGGAAAATAATTGAGCGAAATGGGAGTAATATGAACAAAATGTGGTACGTAACCTAACATTAAAAAAAACAGGTTCTCTAGAAAACATATATCGATGGAGTAGCGTAGAGAAGTAGACGGTATTGAATATAACTAAGGAATAAGTGAGGAAAAACCTGAGAAAAAGTCGTATTTAAAGCAATTACTCCGTTTTATAAATTTCGATAGAGCAATGAGAAGATGGATTTAATCTGAAAAATGTGATGTCTTTGTAATATACATTTCGAATAATCTGATCACACATATACTCGTCAGGGTATTTTATATGAAGATTAATAAAGGTTAGTTAAATGAAAGTTCAAGTAATAAAGGAGACAGAAATTTTTTTACGTCGTATAGAAGGAATAAGAAATTGCCGTATTACCCTTGGCCACAAAATGAACTAAGGATTACCAAGGTAAAGGCTGCGACAAATTGTTTTTGTACACATAAGGGGGGTCTGGATTTAAGAATAGTCAAGGCTTCAATAAACCTGAGAATTCGTCCTTGACAATTTCTATACAACGTCTTAAAAGCTGTGTTGATGTCAATTTCATGCCCCGTTTCAATTGTGTTTTTCTATCAATGAACATGGTTTCCTACTTCCCACGTTGATCGGATCATTTGACACTAACTGCTTTTGAAGACATCTAGGCACACGTTTCATGGCCCTTAATTGCATTGTTCGGTTACTCCTCCGTATGTATGTGTGTCCGCACAAACATGTAGATTGGCAAATGAAATGGGATGTGACGTAACCATTTGTGCATTGTCTAGGTCTATTTGGAATCACGGGCTTAGATTTTTCAATCCCAACCAGCTTAGCAGCATAATAAGTTTTCTCGACGGGTGCTTTCGATCTCTGTCTTTAAACCATACTGTTGGGTTCACCTCTACATGGTAGACAGATATATACTTTTTTTCAGAATCGAATAAACGAGAGGTCTTACTGTTGACTGACTTTTTCACCTGTTTATAAACTTTAGTGGATAAAGATTTGATAATAGTGTGTCAGTGAGCAGCTTTTCATCTTCTCCAACCGCATTAGTGGTGCATATTCTATGAATCCTATTTAAAAGGCATTTAACCAAGCCTCGCTTGTATTGCAATGGACAGAAACTATGGAAATTTAAATATTGCCCCCTTTATTACCTTGATTACTTGGACTTTCATTTAACTAACCTTTATTAATCTTCATATAAAATACCCTGACAAGTATGTGTGTGATCAGATTTTCCGAAATATATATTACAAATACATCACTTTTTTCAGATTGAATCCATCTTCTCATTGCTCTATATAAAAAAACATATCTTTATCTAACTAAATTTTTTAAAGGTGATCACATGGAAAAGAAAACCAAAAACAGAAGACGGTTTGTGTAAAACTCCTTCTGTCACAATGTAAGGTAGACAAACATCTATCACATGTCACCTTTGGCTGCACAATGCAATTTACATGTAAGTGCAAAAGTAAGTATGTAGGAAGAGTAGAAAGACGGTCAATTATTTGTTTTATTAAGGAAATCCCAAAGAACTTGAACAGCATAGAACATAAAAGTCTTTGCTGTTACACAACGGATACAAATTGGACACCATACACTTAAAACAACTAATAAACAGACTAGGTTCGATTTGTGGGGGTTATAGCTAGTAGGTTTGAAATTGCTCTTTGCATTGAAGAGTCAGCGACTAACTTTCAACTAGCCTGCTAATTGAAAGGAACAAATGTAAATAATTGATTTTTTCATTATCTACAATCCGATGAGTTCAAATTACAGATGTTTCTCTCTTATTTTTGTGATTTTCTACCACATTATTTAATAAAATCATATTTTCCAGTATTCTAGAGATATCAATTTAATTAGTTTGCGAAAACTATCATAAAATATCAATGTTGACCTTATTACTGACAACTTGCTCTTTACTGACGGGTAATTCATTTATTGGAACAAAATTCTATATGTACATTTATAACTTGAACTAATCAAACCTATTAATTTGTATTTGTAACTGAAGAGAAAACGAATGAATCTATTGTACTTTGAAAAATTGTCATTCTTATACCTATTCAAATTTATGGAGGGATAAAACTGTATGAAAATGTAAAATGTTGGTTTAAGATAAATCATTTAAAATATGACTTGTTTCAAACATTTAACCCAATGTTAACTACAAAAATGTTCACTTACGTGTTTGTTTACGACAATTTTCTAACATGAATTTTGTACAAAATGCAATTGACTCAATAAAAATACGTGCAACAAGTAGTTTGTCAGCAGACTTTGAATAATCCAATCCGATTACAAATCCATCAGGTCCGTAAAATGAATTTTTGTTTAATTTTAATGGTCCGCCTATTAGCGTGTTTTGATGATGTTTAAGTGTATTCCTTAGCAATGGGATATAGAAGATATTTTCACGAGTAGCTTTTTCATCCAAACCTAAAAAAATATTTTAGCAAGAGAAGGATGGCTATTTATGAATCAGAACATTTACTAGTGATATATATCAGTTAGTTATTAACGATTAAACTAATACTACATTTTGGTTCTACGTGCAAATCGTATTAATTAATTTAAGAAATATCACAAGGATGAAAATGAGCTTAGTAAACCATAGAAGAAACAGAATTTGTCACATAAGAGAATCAAAAACTTATATGAGTCTTTATTATTGATATTACCGTTTAGAGAAAACAAAATCTATGAAACGTTTTCACTACTGAATGTTATATCCGGACGAGAATAAATAAGTGGTAGCCGTTAGGAATTACTTATCGACTAATATTAGACGTATATTCATATTCCGTTCATTATGATTCTACTTGACCTATTTGTTACCGCTAAATGATTTGCAGTTCTCAAGTTATTCTCAATCTATTAGTCACAGTTTCTCACAATCACAGCCACTTTTGGTTTGATCTTGTAAAAATGTTATTTTCTTTTTTTATGGTGTGATGTGGTTTGATCTGTTTGTATAAAAACCTAGTATGTTTGAAACATGATTCATATAGCGGAGGCGTTCTCGACTTAACAGGCAGGGCTAGGCAGAAAAAGGACCAATCGGGATTCTAGGTTGCTCGTACTGGTGTATGCGCCATTAGTTGGATCGAATAATTCAGCGTATCTAAATTGACAACGGTATTTCACGATAATAGTATAAGCTAAGGTTAATAATATTATCATTTGAACACATAAATATTGATACTAATGGGCACCGAATACATATGCACCACACAAATCAAATGAGATTTGTGTGTGGGCTGTGACACTGCCCAGACCGAAGAAGGTGGTTTTCTTAGTAGGCCACACCCGGAGCCTTTGATCTAAAGGTCTAATCCACAAGGCAATGGAGCAACGTAAAAAGATGCAGTCACATGGTAGCCAATGACCAACAATAGGTCCACACACCATTTTTCTCCTCATGATCCTCAAGTCCATGTACACCATTGGTTTGGAATCAGGATTTTCCAACTCTCCTAGGTCGACCCTCCGTATCCGCCAAACCGGTTAAAGCGCCAGACATTCGCTTTCCGTCCTCTCAATTTCGTAAACAACACCCCCGCCACGAGAAGGCAGTGAGTGAGACTTCTCTGGTAGTCGCTGTATACGCGTGGCCATGTGAGAGCGTTTCGAGAGGGAGAGCGGACTCTCCCCACCCTCAGACGTACCAGGGCACTTGGGGGAACATAACACTGAACTTAAGCTCGAGTAAAAAAATTAAGTCTTGGATTAATTATCGACAGATTTCTAGCTCACTTAACATTATCAAGGCTTAGAAGAGTCACTTATGATGAATGTAACAAAATTGGAGATCTTTTTACTAGTATAACAGGAATCAGGGTAGAAAAGCCTTGGTTAAGCCGTGTTATGACGTAAAGAGGCTTTAAAATTGTAGTAAACCAGCTGAACATGTTATTTTAAAAACTCCAATACAAACGTGTATCCAGAGACACGAAAACAGAATTGGTAGATACTCGCTAAGAGGTGTAAATCTTACCAAGTCGATCACCACTATAAAGCATTTCTTCCAACTCAGAATACGTACAGAAAATATCTGAAAAACAAAATAAAAATTTAACAAAGACTACTCATAGCTAATAAGCATTTTTTTCTACTGATACATACTGAAGTAAAAGTCAAACGACAATCACAATAACAACATAAAAGAATTTTACTCAAACTACTCTTAAGTGATGTTCGCAGAATTAAGACATCTTAGTATTTATCGCATTTGCAAAGTAAAACAGAACTAGGTCCATTTATAATATTCAAACGCATATTCTTTTGAGTTAAAAGCATAAAAATACAAAGGTTCAAAAGTGCATAGGAGCTTGAGTGCTTCTTATAATAACTACGTATATTCATCAAAGGTACTTTTCAGATAATGAACAGATAATTTGTGTCAATCAAAAGTATTTCGCAACAGAACAAATGAAACCTGTTAAAGTTAATTGGTTTCCCGTGGCAGATTATCGTTTCTCTTAAAATTGTAAAAACATCGACACACGCGAATTCATTATTTACACTTAAAATTTTTTAATCTTTCTGATAAACATTAATAGTTCTATAGGAACTTTATTACTGTCTACAAAATCTTTATTAACGAATTCACTGAAGAGTAATACAGATAAAATTATAGGAGAAACATCGTTGTCATCGTATCGATATGAAGAAGTCGCGTAAAAGTCGTTATTACTTTTATCATCCTTCAATACTAACGCGTTCAACATTTGGTGAATCATCAATAAAATGATTTAAGTTTATCATAAACAAACCAAAATGAAACAAAAAATGGCTGGTTCACATGTTATGTAAAATCTATATACAAAAAATGAGCACTTGATGCGTTTAACATTATCATTTTCAATAACAAAAAGGATTTTTCATAACAATTATAAGCGTTCTGGCCACTATATAAAAGTATTTCCATCGTGAATTTTGTAATGGAAGATGAAAGTCATTAGTTTCTTAATTTTAGGCGAAAGCTCGTGAGTGGATTTTTATATTCCGGTTGGCTTATCCCTATATTATACTCCTAACCAAAAATGATAGTGAATTTCAGAAGTAACTAAAATAGCGGTGCAAAACCAAATCAAAGTGTTATAATTCTCTCTTACGGTTATAACCCAGCTATTTCTATTGCTTAGTATTCTTGGACACCAACTCACTCGACAAGTCCCCAAATATGAACACGGTTGAACAGGAAAGAAATTATATTCCAAATAACAAGGTTAGATGGAAATAAGAAGTACAATAGGAAAACCATTAGTATATTTATAGTTTTTACATGAGAAAATTTCTAGAGTATTCTCTAAGTATCGACTAGCGCTGATTGGGCAAGAATTGGGCAATCACCGTGCACCAAAGCAATCGTGCGTTGAGCATGCTTTGATCCAATCTATGTCCCGTTAACACAAAGTAATGAATTGTAGCAATTGATACACAAACTTTAGGGCCAAAGCCCACCTACATTATGGTAAAAATGACCGTCAGAATTCGATGCAATTACGAAACTAGTTGTAATCTGACAGAATGTGTGCGTGTACGTCACAGAATCACCCACCCTAATTCCTATGACTGAATTACGTGGAATAATTAACGCATAAAAGTTTCAGCGTCTAACTACTTGTCTAGTGTCGGGAATAAAGATAGAAAACACCCGTTGAGATTTAAACAAGAAATCGATCCAGTGAAATCTACCTTCTTGATAAATATTTAAAATCATAGCAACTAAACTTTCAGTTTCTTAACAAGAATAACATTTTTTGTGCTCTTGTCTATTTTTTTGTTATGTTTAGCATTATTATCATTATTAGTAATAGGCATATGATTTATCATCCTGGGAAAAACGTATATATTTGTGATTGTGCCACTGTGAGAATGAATTCACCGAAAAGAGAAGAGTTTGTTGAATGTTTTTCTATAGTCTTTTATATATTTTTTAAGTGCAATGTCAAAAATCTGCAGAAACGGTTAAACATAAGTAAAATTGACCAAGTATGCAAAGAATACTTTGTAAAAGACCCCAGAGACCAAATAATGAATTTGCTTACTTTTAGCAGTGTATATAAAAGTATTGGATGAACACAAAATGTTAGGAAAGCAGCAATCGTGTGTGAAAATGAAATGAGATAGTTCAGTCAGTCATCTACAACATATGATCAGGCATATAGAAGCACCGGTCGAAGTCGCCATACCTCATTAGCACAACAAGAACACTAAATAGATAGAGGCAGTTACCTCAATGGTAGAAATATATAAAAAGATTGCATATAAGAATATCATACAGGGAGAAAGAATTAGTTCGTAGAAAGAAAGGTATGAAGTAATCTTACAGTTTAAGGGAAGACAAAGAGTATACACCTACACCATTGTGATCAATTCTAAACCATGTCACTCAGTCTCCAACCACTCCTTACGATAGTCACGTGGACACCAACCAAGTAGTCTGCATCTACCGACATGGCTCAGACTAGAAGTTTGTGACGTCAAGGACTGATGCCACGTTTTGGTTTGGCCAGCTCTAACTTTCTTCCAACCATCTCCAACACGTCACTACTGCATGTCATGGTAACATGTGATTTAACATGCATAATACGTGCCCAAACCATCTCAGTCGATGTAGATTCATAACTTTATCAAATGATTTATTATCATTCCTTAATACCCTGTATCTAACATCACCATTACACACCCGGTTATCCCAGCAGATGCCAGCAATATTTCTAAGACATCTGTGATCAAATAATATTAACTCACAAGTATCTTCTACTCTTAATGGCCACGTTTCGCAGCCGTAAAGTAGAACAGAACAAACTGATGGATGGATATCTCGCCTTCGCCACAGGTAACGTAAGTCGGCAAAAGCCAAACTAGCCTTTCAAAAGCGTGCAGAGATTTCTTCAGACACCAAACCCATTAAGGCTGATCAGACTTCCAAGATAAATGAATTTGTCAACGCGTTCGACTACTTCACTCCCTATCCTTAGTTCAGGTGTTGACGCAGACCAGTCCTGAAGCAACAACTTGCATTTAGAGGGAGAGAAGCGCATTCCAAACATTCTGGCATTGTTGCTCAGTGCTACCAGAGAACTCTGCATTTTGTCAGCGTCTTCACCAAACAGGACTATGTCATCTGAGTATTCTAAGTCGACAAGTGGACCTCCTGGTAGATCAATACCCGAGAATTCAGTCGACGAGAATGTTATTTCCATCAATAAGTCTATGATGAAGAAAGTGAACAGCTAGACCATCATTGAAAACCTGGAAGTACTGGACGACCATTTCGTCCCAGTATGGGACTTGTTGAGGCTAATGTCCTCAAAATCTGACTCTAATAAATAATATCTCGGTAACTGAGTATTTAATGCAGGCTAAATCTCCTGGTAGAATTATGGATTTTACGCGAGATTATTCAAAAGCCTGAACACCAGTTGTAGAGATAATTTATTGTTAATAAAAATCCGCAAGCGTACAGCGAGCAAGCACACGATGAAACAAAGTAGAAATGATGCGCAGTGGAGATGGCTGGTAATCCAACTCCATTTTAGTCAAGCGTTACTCAATATTTATATTCAGACAAAATAAAGCTACAGACATGCAATCGACTACGTGTGACTTTTCAGGGAGAGGAGCATTTTCCAATATTTCCTTAATCGAAACAGTATTACTAACCTAGTAACTAGTGTTTATAAAAAACTGTGAGGTGGAATTCAATTTTGTAAATGGCTAGGTACCAACAACGAACTACTACATTTATGGTCTTGGACACCAAATCAGACAGATAATAAAGATCCTTCAGCAAAACAAAATTCTTTACAGTAGATATCAGCTCCGCCTGGAGCCCCCTTCTAAGATTACTGTCAATCTCGAAGCCGGGTAAGAGAGAGTTAAGTGAAGGATTAGCAGCCCGACTACAAAAACGCGAAGCAGGAAAGGCCAGTTACCCTATGTAGACTCTACCCTGGGAGTAGAATGGGGAACCACGGCAACAATCAATATCAGTACATGGAATGTCCGAACAATATGGGGGGTCGTGATGCTCCTTCAGACAACAGCAAAAATGGAGAGGTGCAATCTGATTCCACTAGAAATACGCGAAACACATTGGAAACAATCAGGGGTTGCACTGACCTTTTCCAAGGAAACACAAAAAGCCCCAATAAGTTGGAAAATTTATAGGTCTCGGATTATCGAGGCACCCAACGAGCGGAAATATGTGGAAGACCTGACAATCACAGCAAAATAAGCTACAGGAGAAGGAATAATGAGAGGATTGTATGATGCAATCAAGTTAAGAGGGAAAGATAGTAAACCAGACCGACTAGTTATGACCAAAAAAAGAAAACCAATCAGTGTGGAGTAAGAGCAGTTGAACAGCTGGATAGAGTACTTTGAAGAGCTCTTGAATAGAACATCCCAACTGAACCAATCGGACATAGAAGTAGCACACATAGACCTTCATATAAATAATACCCCACCAACAATAAAAATTAGCAAGACTGTAACTAATAATGTCTTTTAGTCTTCATCTATGGTTCTTACTATTTTTTTTCATCAACTATCAGACATCTGCACAACCTAATTTTAACACTCGAAATTGCTGAACACTTTATTACGCAACTACACTCTATTTTTCAATGAACGTCTGTATGTCAAATAATTATGAGATTGTAAAGGTTCAACGAATTATAAGATTGAAAAGAGAAGTTTATTGCTTGATGATACTTTATTTTATTATAGATAGGTGAGGGGCGATTTCGTCTTGATAGATGAACTTAATTTTCCTATAAATTCATAACGATGAAAGTATTAGTTAAGTAAGTTGATTAAATTTATTAAGAAAACGAGTTGTGTTAGAAAAAAAACACGTCAACAGTAAATACAAATATTAGAGAGAATTAATTGTTCACATGATTCCAACACAGATAGATAAAAGATGAACCTTGAAAAAAATGTATCACATGAACAGACATTTTTAAAGCCACATATACATGAGTCAAGAAGAAATACCTGTTTAAAGAGAATTTACCGCAAGCTAGTAACGGTTGAAAATCAGTCGATCATAATCAACACTGACGACTTTTAATTAATCAAAATTTCCATACCACATCAGCAGAGAGAAATGAAATCAACAAGAAGAATACTAGAAGAGTCTAAATAATAATAGTACCAACCGAAGTTGGAAATATTAATCACTGAGTAATGCTATTCGAAAAGGAGGGATGAATTTGTAGACAGAAAGTACAAAATAATATTAAAGTACAAGACTTAGAGGAAGATAAGGAGCGCATCTTCAGAACTGTGAATAGTTCCAGCCCATTTCACCCAACATCTCCAACCACTGATTATAATTACTGCTACTGAGTGAAACAGTAAAGATTACAGAACGCTGAGGTTAACTGTCTTATTTCAAGAATTTTTAGGTATTACATTGTGCATGCAGACCGCGTAAAAACCTATTATTATAAAAACCAATAGTTATGAAACTTTAGTTGATTTTTCGTCACAAATAAATATATGTACTGACAAATGATTAGAAAAATCACTTACTTTCTGACTGCAACCAATCAATAAGTGTACCAGCATGTGGATAGAAACCTTCAACTAGATAAGTAAGATCACCCAGATGAAAAGACCTAGATGTAGATGGTACAGATGATGGAGATTCCGAAGAACTGCTAGTAGAACCCATATAAAAAGTCGAAATACAGTCAAAATACGGGTGACCAGATGCCCATCCAATAACAGGATAAAAGCCTACAGAATAAATAAAATGTGACAGATAGGTACAGTACAACTTCATATTATTCGACCCACAATACTAGACTTTAGCTGTCGGTTAAATACAGAAATCTTGCAATGAAATATAGTGCTGCTGAAGTCATATAACCGAGTCAGCAAATAAACCGACCAACATCCTCACCTTAAATTGAAATTCTGTAGGAGATTAGTTTACTAAGTCGGGTCCCACTACCGTAAAGAACTAGGGATGGATAAACTTAAGTGATGCAGATAAAGCTTGATATACGTACTGAACAAATATTAGACATTTCCTAGAAGGCTGATGAAATTTAAACACGGCTTCATGGATGGGTTGGCACTTAAAATACTGTATACTCCATTTATTTGATACAGATTAATGATCGAAGCATTTTAGACACAGTAGTTAAATTAAGTAAAAACAACTCACGTATACCTCATAAACTATATTACAGAAGTACCCAGATGTCTGATGGAACTATCAAATCACCCTTGCAACTGTCAGGTTTCCAACAATACGGAGAGTAAGATTGGTGGTCAAAGCACTAGGCTTTTCACATTAAATTTGGATATTTCTCCGTCTACTATGGGTAACGGGATAATTTCCAAAGCCAGTACATCATGAGTATGATTTAATGTTGAATATACGAAGTAGTACTGGAAAATTGAATTAACTTACTTCACATGACTGGAGCACGTTTCAGTACACTACCTGTCTTTTAAGGTTGAGTGACAGGTAGAAAAATAAATTGTTTAAGATTAACTAAAGCACGACACCAACCATAAATTAATAATCTAGTTACGCCTGTAAATGTAAATCTTTTCTACTGCTCAACTTGAGTTAGTCACAATAAACGTCTAAAATGTTAACAGTAGAGACTTATTATATCCCAAAAACTAATGCTCTTTATTTAAATCCCATTTTATCAACTTGTCCAGTACTAAAAACTATACAGAACAAGTTTATGAATAATAATGATAGTTTATCCTGTTGAGAACAAATTAGAAAAGCCTGACAAAATCATTTAAGACATACTATATTATTATTCGTTTGATTTGTTATCACACATTTGAAGTTATTATCCACAAATACATATATGTCATAGGTTGTTGATAGCTTAACTACTTACAGTATGACAATAATGGATAAGCAGAAACAGTACTAACGTGATATTATGCGTACCATTCATCACGGCTAGAGCTTTAGAACCAGAAAGTAAATTTAAAAATATCCCAGTGCCTAATGTAAGTTTAGCTTGACAAGGAGATAAACAATTTTCTGTTAAGGTGGCAGCTTGAGCATCACCAATGATACCAGTGATCGGAATAGACAAAGAAGGATTTGATGAATACCCCAGTGGACCATTTTGAATGGTGCCATAATAATAACTGAAAAATAAGAACACATGTGGTTATATGATAAGAAATAGGGAATGATAATTAGCTTTTAAAAATTATCGTTAATTGTGAGTGAATTATCACTGACAGTTTCCGAATTACCTATGAAGTTCTTCCACTAAATCCATTAAGCTATGAGAATGACAATTATTACAAACGTTTATTTGCCAGCCAACCATTATTGACAGACAAAACAAATGAGTTAGACAAAATGACCAGCTTAGTGCTATTATGACCCATCTACTCCGATTGCTTAGCATTCTCGGACCCCAACTCGCTCAACAAGTCCCTAAGTCAGAACACGGTTGAACAGAAACGAAACCATGTTCCAAATAACCAAGGTAGATGGAAGTAGGAATCGCAATAAGAAAAACGTTAGTATATTTATAGTTTTACATGAGAAGATTCTAGAGTCTTCTCCAGGTATCGATGATTGGATAAGAAACAGTCAATCAGAGTGCACCAACACAATCCTGCAAGGAACGTGCTTTAATCCAATCTATATTCCACTAAAACTTAGAGATGACTAATTTTATACAGCCGGATAGGCAAAACAATAAAAACAACGATTATGAGCATACAAAACTATTTGAATAATTTTCAAAGGTGAAAATCTTCATATAACATTATTTTTCAGAAAAAGTTCAAATTTAATTTTTTTGATATATTGTTAAACTAAATGTAGTAGTGATTTGATGGTTAAAGTACTAGACCCATACCAATGGAGTGAATATGCTTCCGGATCTCGAAGGGCTGAATGGTGGATGGAACTATTTGGTCACCACTTACTAAAGGATTGCATCTCCTGAAGTTGATATATTGTCGTGTGGATTGGACCTTCAGGTCAAAGCCTCAGGGAGTTGTCGTTTACAAAAACCAACTACTTCGGTCTGGCCTAGCCCATAAAAAATATGCTGAATTATAAAGAAATTGTGGCAAAACCATGTTAATAACAATGAGTGCATTCGCTCCCAATGACGATAATTCGGTTAGTGAGATAACTTTGAAACACCCACTTCAGTGGCTTGCAAAGAAAAGCTAGCAAAATTATTCCTGCAAGTCAAACTTTTTATCCCCCTCAAGTTTTTGTGGAATATGAATATATGTAACGAAATTATTTTAAAGAACTGTTAGTGAATAAAGTTGATATGATACGAAAAGACTTGTTGGAGGATGATGATTCAAGTGGCCTTGCTTTAGCTTCATAAACAAAAATGGCGCAGTTTTCATTACTGTGCTACAGAAAACAAACCGGTGCATTGAATGTAAGTGGGGATGCCCAATGCAGCTTAAACAATGGTGGTGGCATATTCTTGATCGAATTAACTAATAAAAAAAATCAAATCTAAAAAAGTAACCTACGTAAAAGTAAAGAAACTGGAAAAACAATTTTAACAACAATCTTCTGCGAACCAACAGTATTCAGTTCGAAAAATATAATACTTTGATCAACTACTATTTTGAGATTAGTGATATAAATCCCAAAATATTAGGAGATTGTGTGTGAAGCTTGGGGTAGAAAATGATTGAGGAAAGTGAGAATTTCAGCTGTTGGTTACTATGTAGATCGAGTCACATAGAGGTAGTGTCGTACATATATGTGAAATTATGTTGCATCATTAGCTGACTACATTGGTGTCTTTTTACATAAAACTAACTGACGAGATTTCAACGAGTATTTTTCTAAAAACAATAGCTGAATAGTACACTCACCTGGAAGGATACACACCAGGAAGAATATTGGCAGGTATTCCTAAACTAGCCAAAATCGGACGGCTCCATTTACGCTAAAACAGCACAGTATACAAAAGAATCAACATGACATAACACTAAGTACTTGAGTAAGTAAACGAAGTGAGATTACCTCTATGTTTTGACTGCAATAAAATAAAGTGATAACTCAGAAAAGTGAAGCTCGTGTTAGATAGTAGTGTAGTGAACAACAACTCAGATGGGGAAGACCAATGTATTGTTTAATGCAAAATTACAGTGTATTCGTAAAATATGAAAACCATACACTAAATACATCATTCACCTCTTACAAACCTTATCGTTCCTTCATTCCAACTGTTATTACAATTACTCTCTGTTTACATTTCTTTTCTCTCCAATTCGATATTCTCAACCTTCTGCTGCCAGACATCCCACCTCTGATCAGTGTCACCTACTATTTATGTCTATCAATATAAGTAGCCTACATCACAGCAGCACCATTTCTCGTATAAAATGGTGAGGGATATCATCATTCAGTGACCTGGGAAAACTAAATTTAACCATCTGGGGGAATGTTAAAATATAACTTCAGCTGCAGTATGTTGTGTATGAAATTATTTTACATGCAGCAAGTAGCAAACTAGCGCATTACTTCATGTACAAAAACTAAGTCATAATAATTAATGACTTTATTGTCTTTAGTTGTTGGAAATCTGCCACTGATGTAACCCATCTACAAAGCAAAATCTTGATAGCTCAACGTTCAGCATCTTGGTTATTGGTTGACAATCAAACATTATAAATGCCCTCCATCAAAAGGAATTGTTTAGAGCCTAGAGGACCAGTCTTACAAAATTAGCTTAAATCTTTAGATTTCTTACTTTAGAAGTCGTTGAATTGTGGCAATTCCAACTAGTAAATACACACCTTAATGGTCGTGATTTCATTATATAGTTGATCTAATTATTTATTATGGAAAGCCATAAGTTATAGAGACCGTTAACTATATGTCTACGATGTGTCTCTAAATGACTGAGGAATTTTTACAATGTTTTTCATTATATGACAAAGTCCAGTCGAAAATAAGGCTCTCAACTACAATACATGACTGAAAATACATCGTAACTTACAGAAAAGGAATCATACATGCCAGTAACACTTGCACAGCTAACATCCGTAGCAAATGTTTTGCCACCTGTAAGCCGCCATAGCAACCATGTCTCCAAACAACCATAGCAAAGTAACCCCTTACGACACTCATCAATAAGCTATAGAAAAATGAAAGGATATAAAATAAATTAGCATATATACAACATACCCTTCCATTTATAACAAAAATTGGATGTACTAGTAGTAATCAGAATATCTATTACAGGTATTTTTGGTATCATTTGGGGGGAACTTGAACTAAGGTGGATACATGATTTAAAACTCTTGATTATTTGTTCTCTAATTTAACACCTGCAACTTTAATGCCAGCTCTTGAGGCAGTAAGAGTAACACAAAACACTGACCCATAAATTTATTGAATTATTTGACTTGTATAAGAAATAGATGTGACTTGGTTATTAAGGTGTTCGGCTTTTAGTCACCAGGTACTGGGTTCAAACCGCACTCAACCTACTTCAATTTGAACTACTAGGTAGCATCACCGGCATACGGCTTATACACAAGCACATGGTGAATGGATCAAATTTACTTTTTAATAGATTTTTTAGGGCTCCTAAAGCGCTGGACTTTACGATTTGCAAACTTCACTAAGACTTATTACAACAAAATAGGACAATTACTTTTCATATTGCTTTAAACCATAATCACTCGATTACATTGCATCTATTCGTTTTTTATTTACTTATGTTCATTAGGGTATTTTAATACACGTTTTTATTCTTTTTGGGTGCCCGAAAAAGTTGATTCCACGTTAGGTAGGGTTTAATCTAACTACCTTACTCGTTATTTCAATACGTCTAAGCAAGGAACCAGTTAACGATTTACAATGCAATCTCAAGTTTGCAAATGTAGGATTGACAAAAATGGGTATATATAAAAATAACACAATAATCAGAAGGAATAGATAAGTAATAAATACTGTGTTATCAAATAGCCACAAAGATGGATGATATATATAGGAGCTGTATTATGAAGTGAATTTTAAGTAGTTAGTAACCATTTAATATTTGTATAAACGGTAAACAGGAGTAATAAAATTCACATATGAAGGATATTTACACCTACCAAATTTTCAGTAAAACAGGCTAATGAAAAAAAACTAAAATGAGAAAGCTAAGGTACTTAACCAATTACTAATTCAATACTGATGAATTACAATCGAAGTATATGTGATGCGCGGGCTGCGAATATTATTCACTTTCATGCAACAAAATAGGTGATATATATTTCGATTTGCTATTCGCCTACAAGAACAAAAGAAAGTAGGTTTATTCTCACTGGATACTGACCGCATTAGTGGCCAAGATGGTTTAAAACCAGAATCAATAGGAATTCAAGACGTGCTAAAAGCACTTTCATTTTACATATCTAACTTTATGGGGTATACAGAGTAGTTGGAACTTCAGAGATATGAGTCGATATCAACCACGTACGAGATCGCAACGATGTACATTAAGAGCTGATACATTTTTCTAATTGGTCTGTTGACGTTTGAAATCTCCATATTGATTAAACTGTTTCTGTAGTATTAGTGGTAGACATTTTCACTACAATGTAAACAGTACTAGTCCAGATGATTTATTTCTACTCATCTCCGGAAGCATTGTCTGACTGAAAACTATCTCTTTTGCAGCCTCTTATAATAATTATAATTTTCTACCGCGGCTAACTGAAAATAGTGAGTGGTTAGTTCACAGACTTGTGGTGTGAATCCCAGTTAGTCTTAAATTCAAATCTGTTGGTGAAACCAGACTCTAAAGACGAAGTCACCAGATCGCCAAGTAAATGGTTTGAAAACTAGTACACAACAGAGAATCAAAACTAAAATGATATCAGTTAGGATTTTGTTGTTTAACTTTCCATGCATGGAAAATTTGCTACGGTCTACACTAATGTGGCTGTTTTTACGCTCAAATAATCCCTACTGCCTTGCTTTTTCTCTCTATAATCGTATGATATCATAGAACTGTTTGGAGCACATTGTTGATGGTACGTCAAGATTTTGTCTAAATAAGTACTTAGTGGTAATAATACTACGATACATTTCTTTAAGACCTGAATTCCTTAATATTTCCACAAATCTCCCGACGTTGCTAGATTGTTGTATGGACCAGACCTTCAGATCAAAGGGTTGGGGAGTTGTCATTTACAAAAATCAACTACCTCGGTCTGGGAATTCAGCTAGTATTCGAGACCACACACAAATGTACTGAATAATGATACAGAAAATGTTATGCTTTCTTTGCCTCATTATCTATACGAACGATATTTGCAGTCTAACAATAAACTTCGAACACACAAATAAACAAAATGAGAAACCAACGTAAACCGCAGACCACTTGTTGCTGCAAGGCGTTCTACCAACCAATATGGACTAAATACAAGGGAATGATATTGTTGTGCATTTTTCAAATATTATTTACTCCTTAACCGCAGCTTAGATAATAATGAATGATTTCTCAGACGTTAAATATACGTCATTTAATTAATATAGAAATCCGAACTTTAGTTTATGTATAACATTAAGGTAGTCGAAAAAAATTCACACCACTTTTGACTTTTATGTAGTTCTTAGTTAAATGGCTGTATTTCCAATATACTCTATAAGTAGAGATACAAAACTAGAAGCTTTCCAAACAGTAGCACTTGACATGTACTATAAGTTGAAAATTTACTTATTCTGACAGATATTAGATTCATCTTAATCCGACCACGATTCCCGCAAAATGGCTTATATAGTAACATCACGAAGTTTATCTGGAACGCTAGTAATGATATACTTCCCTCACTCATGATTTTCCGATCAGGAATCATAAACAAGTTTGAATGATGATTTTGAATTTTAACAAGTTTCATAGTGTGAAATGTCAGGTCACCGAAAGTCTAGGGATCAAAAAAAACCTTTAGCGAAGATAGTATTAATTGTATCAGTATGTCGTGTTAAAACATGTATCTTATCATTGATATTACGAATGTAGTAACACATTTTCACAATACAAAGGCATCAGAAATAGGATTTTAGTAATTTAAGAACCGACCACAAGAACTAGTAAACATACCTTTGGTTTCTCATTTAATAAATATTTGAGACGTATACATGCTAATACTGTCTTGAAGTGGTACGACGCCAACGCTTTAAACCTTGATTGATGTGTCATCCAATATAACATATGGCCAGCAGTTTTCATACTCTACAAAGCGATAGAATTAGCAAGAAATAAGTGAATAGTATGAAAAATGTAGTAAAAGCATCTAAAAATTATCCCGTCCACATTATTTTGTCAGTTATTTTATTGGATGCAGTTAGTTTATCAACCTCTAAGGTGTCGATGTAGTTATAGTTTTGTTATGACAGTAAATTCATCATATTCAACATAGCAGAACCAAAATCTATTGGAATTATTGAGTGATCTATGTCCTAGTTATTCGACAACTTGCATTAGTCGTCTAACTGACTCAATACTGCCAAGAACCGATTGGCTCACTTAAGTCTAAACTTGATTAGGACACCATTTACCTATTGATCCCAAGAAACGTTCACAACGATCCGAGGGCATTACAGATTAGACATTAAAATTTCAGATATTAATAGCATTATTTACTTTATTCAGGGCGCTGAGACAGAGTGCAATACTATAGAGAAACCCGTGATCCCGGAATTGCTGAAATGAATGTGTTAATCACCTCATCTAACTGAAATCCGAATAGGTGTACCTAAAACATTTTCGTATGTGGTACTTATCTTACTTAGAGTACAGATTAACAAGCATGTGAGAATCCGCCCATTAGGAGTAAAGAAATGATATATGAGGAAGAAACCAAGCATTTAAAACTACGACTACACAGTTCAAAGAAAGTTAAACACACTTTGAAATGGGTTTCTAACAGTGATAACAATAAAGTAATTTACAGTTGTTTCCCCATAATACGCAGGTTTCACTCATTAGTAATGAGTATACAGTACTTACATAATAAGAAATATTACCGTTATGGGTGTGAAGTCCCCAAATACAACTTGTGGGAAAGGAATTGCGATTATATTATGATATTCAGTGTGAACTCTGTACATGGATATACAATACATTTTTACCATGATTGTATTTAGTGACAAATAATTTCATAAATTATTTCTCAATTGTTTCGGGGACATCATCAACAAAGCTCTCACTACTAATCTGGCTCTTTTTTACTCAGGTTATCGGGGTAGGGAAGACGATAGTAGTCTCGTTTATCGTATTGGGATCAGAGTTGTGAAATATAAGTATAGCGCACAGACGTATTAATTGCTCAATCTATTTTTGTTAATTTACTTATAGAGTTGAAGGGGCTGGTTTGACAGCTAAGAGAACTGATTTTTAATTATTAGGTCACAAATCGAAACGCAGCACCACTTCAGTCTGAGTGATCAAGTTCTCTCTAGTTTTTATACAGTAGTTCGAAAGTAAGTGCACAGATCTGTACTTGATATGAGTTTCTTGGTACGTAAGACATGTTAAAAACGCAGCAACGTAATATTACTTTCGGAGGTAAATGTGAAGTACCTGTACAATCAAACTAAATTCTGAAAGTTATGAATAACCTATGACACTCTTAAGGTAAAATCAAACTTTGCTAAGTGAATGAGAATCGCTTTTTTTAGAATAAGAATGCTAAAAATAACACTGGTCGTTGATTATAAATGAGAAGTACGAACCAATCCTGGCAAAATCACCTACTAGTTGTAAACAGTTAGCCACGATAACATTAATTTAGCAATATTAGGGCGAATAAAACGGTTTGGATCGGTGACTTAACAGCTAAACTACTACATATTGCTAATGGTGACTTAAGCCACGGGCAATAACGGATAAGCATACGGAATAAATTACAACTTACACGAAAGATAAAAGACTGATTTAACTTTTTGGCGAGATCCAAAGAACGTGTATCTAGCCACGTGATAACACGAGTTCGAGGATTTGATGTCTTCCTGTCAAACTACTCATACTTAGAAATAATATCTTACTTATCCCACAACAATAGGCTATTTCGCTGAACCGAAATACCTATACAATTGATCCGATCAGGGTGAATTTCTGCATCTACATGATTATCCACAAAAGCGTTGGTGTTACCTTGTAATACTTCATCTAGCAGCTTGCAAAAGGATTCCCATACAGCTTCTGGATCCAATTCGCAAGCACCATCAGACCCTTCAAGCCGAGGTACCTGGAAGAGAAATATATTTGTAACATTTTTCAGGGTGTAGCTGACTGTTTACACTTATCTAAATATTATTTCAAAAGACAAAATCGAAAAGTATATTATGCAGAAAGAGTAAATGCGAAGGCAAGTTAAAAATCAAGCTATCCCAAATGAATTGGTTCGAATAGGTCCCGAGCTAACCCCATGTTTACTGAAAATCAAGGGGGGGGGTAACTAGTAATCAAAAATGCTTAAGCAGGGACTAGAAGTGCCTGAATTATTATCTCGAAATAATATATACAATTATTGGCTTGGTAAAATGCTAAATTATAATGCAAATGATAAAATGTTGGTGAATAATTAGCTTGACAATTTTAATTTAAACCATAGATCACATCAGAGGCACCATTTAACGAAACAGTAGTATCGTAGGCGCTCACAGCAGATCCAGTTCACAGTCCAATAAGCGAATTTCTAGGACCGTGTAATATACATACATATATCATTGTTTAGTGTTGTGCAGTTTAAAAGACCTTAAGTCAGTCAGTAACAACGTAGAACTTCGTACGTACGTACATCAGTTCGAGTTGCCACACCACATTAGCACAGAGATGCTGTTGTCGATTCAAATCCCGTAGTGGTAGAGGTAGTAATAGTGTAAGCAGTAATCGGAAAGATTAGGGTTTGAAGATGTTATTCAAAGGGTATAATCTAGTGAAATAAATTTGGAAAGAGAAAAAAAGAAGGGACATGAAGAATTCGAGAGATTACAATTTGAGAGAACACAAAGATTGGATGCACCTGCGCTATTGCAAACGATTTTGAGCTATGTCATTCAAGGTCTCTAACCATCGGTTGCTATCGTCTCGCGGATCCCAACCAGGTAGTCTACACCTACCAACATGACTCAGTCCACTTGTCAGTGACTTCATGGGTTTGTGCCACTTTTTGGTCTGGCAGTTCCTAGCTTTCTTCCAACCTACTCCTACACCATCAAAAATCGCACGTCGGAGCAGTCGATGGTTGGGCATACGTAACACATGTTCCAGCCATCTCAAGTGATGAAGTTTCACTACTCCATCAATTGATTTGCCATCCTTACCCAATGCCCGTTTTCTAACGACTGCATGAGTTACTCGGTGGTCCCAAAATATACGAGCAATGTTTCGAAGACACCTATGATCGAATATTAGTAACCTACAAATATCCTCTACTCTTACCGGCCATGTTTCACTGCCACAAAGTGGGACAGAACGAACTGCTTTGCAGTAAACACGTCCTTCGATTGGTAGACGGATATCTCGCTAACGCCACAAATGACAGAAGTTGGCAAAATCTAGTCGAGCCTTCTGTATCCGTGCTGAGATTTCGTCACACACCAGACCACAAGGGCTGATGAGACTTGCAAGTTAAATGAAGCGGTCGATACGCTTAACTACTTCACTCCCTATCATTAGTTCGGGTGTCGATACAACCCACCCCAGAAGTGCAAAATGGTGCTTCAGACCTTAAATGGTTGTTTACTTCATAAGTCGAATGAACTATTTGTCCGTAAAATCTTCCAAGGACAACAAAATGATCTCAGACACCATTTATTTTTAGTTCGACAGATTCTTAAGAAAATCCATTTATACTATCACGTCGAATAAGGCGTTATGTTGAACATACTGTGGAATTACCTCAAGGCATTCGAACCCGATTCCTATTTTCGGGACAGAAACTTAAGATACGAACAATCGAACTACGATTGGAATTCATGACTATCAAAAACGTCGGGAGCATTTCTTAAAACCTAGTGCCATTGATGTTTGAGAACTTGCTGAGCGTATGGGATACCAACTGCATCCATTTTAATATGTTCCTGCAGCCAATCCGTGGTTCCGTGAAGTCCTATTTGAGTGTCTAAAATGATTAGCCACTAACTAGTAGGTTCTCATGTAGAACTCCGTTTCACCTTATTCGATTTAGGAAGTCAGGCACTATACCGAATTTGTGGTTCCAAGTCGAGCATGTAAACGCACACCTGGCAAGTAACTTTCTAGTTACTGGAAACTGATGTGAGAGATCTCGGTTAAACTAACCCGGTATGATGGAAGATTCAAATAGACAGTTTGATAATGTGCAAATTACGAAGTCATAAAACAAAACCACCAGACCCAGCTTCATAAATTGTTAAGTATGGAAATGAAATAGACGGAAAAACGTTTTGACACCAATTTTGTGTGACTCACTTTGGTGCTGCTACATCCAATGACCTTAAGATCCATAGTGTAGACCCTGGCGCATGCATGAGTGCTTCCGAAATCAACACCCAATATGAATTTTGAAACCGTTCGCTGTGAATCAATTTCAACGCAATAAGTCAAAAAGCAAGAAACATAAATGTCAAATTTATATTTGAAAAAAAAACTTCTAAGGCATACATTTAAGTATTTTGCATATCTTAATGGTCATGTTTGGGACTAGAAATGGCTATCGCTTTTGCAAGCTCCCTGACCTTGGCGTCCTGAATCTCAACTACCGTCATGAGCTCATTAACCCGACTAGTTAGCTGATCCAGTGTTTGTTGTATGCAATCATCCTTATTATGTTCTTTCCTTACTTGCCGGCGATATTCAAGCAGAAGGCAAGTGGCCCCAACCACAAAAATGATAATTTCCCCGAGCACTTCTGACCCAAGGTCAACGGCAGCATCTTCACTCAACTTGTTAACCCCCTTTGGTAATTCCAGACCCAATAATTTTAATTTTAGTCGGGTTTCCCACAAATGATATACTATTAATAATAAACTGCTATTTTAGAGAACTTACATTGTGCTGGAGGCAGGCACACATAGTTCCTGAAAAATGAATTTGTTTTGGCCTTGCGCTTCAGGTAGTTGGCCAGGGGCTTTCCTATTTGTTTTATAGCCAATGCTCCCAATTTAAATACCGGGAAAGCCCCAACCATATGGTTTTAGTTGCAAAGTGCGCCTTTATTGGTTACTCACAAAACCTGTGAATGTACAATCCTCCAAACTTTTATTTCATTTAAGTAACCAGTACATCAAGAATATTTCATATTATTTAAGTGTATTATTGATTCTTGACAAAGAGTAGTGTAAATTCCTTATCGATAGTTCATAAACCTGAAGTACCAAACAACTAACTATTATCAGTTTCAGTTTGGAAAGGACAGGAGGCTTGATGACCTGTGTTAGTCCTGACAATGGTGGTCTCTCAGTTGATCGAACTTTCTTTTGAAAGAGTCGACGGATGGAGCCTCAACCACGTGCTGAGGTAACGAATTCCACTCGTTGATGATTCGATGAGAAAGTCGATAGTGTGCAGTAGTCTTTAAGTCTTGGTTAATGATGACTACTAAGTCATTATGTGGCTGGACGACAGGTAGCTCAGTGTTATTCATCGTGTATGTATCTTTGCCTTGATGACCGATATGCATCACAACACACTTGGAAGTATTTATCGGCAACTGCCATGTTTGAGATCATTCAGATAACTTCTTCAGGTCATTTTGAAGTTCTAAGCTATCACTCTTACATCGTATCGTTCTCCATATCTTGGCATCGTCAGCATATAGCAAGACCGATGATGATAGGAGACAAGGAAGGTCATTTACATGCAAGAGGAATAGCACTGGCCCCAAAACTGTACCCTGGGACACTCCACTAAGCACAGTTTCCCAGCTAGATAACTTTGAGTTCACCCGAACTCTTTGTTGACGCCCAACTAAGAAGTCTTTTATCCACATCAATAAATTGCCTCTAATCCCGACTTTTCTTAACTTATATAACAGCCGGTTGTGCGGAACTTTATCAAAAGCTTTACTGAAATCAATGAAGGCGACGTCTACAGGTAGCTTTTGGTCCTTAAGAGCACACCAGCTTTCACGAGCCACTAATAAGTTAGTGAGACAAGAATAACCTATTCTGAAGCCGTGCAGCTTCTCCGAGAGGATCCGGTTTTTATCGAGATACTTAAACAGCTCCTTCCGAATAATCTTTTCTAAGATTTTAACAACCACACTAGTTAGGCTAACGGGGTGGTAATTCTCAGGTTTATGCTTCGTACCTGTTTTGAGACAGGACTTACTATGGCGTTCTTCCAGTTTTTTGGTAAACGACCCTGCGTTACGAATAGATTAAAACATATACCTAAATGTTTCGCAACAAAGTTAGATAATTCCTTCAGTAGCCTAGGATGCAATTCATCGGGCCCTGTGGATTTACCTATGTCAACCTTACTTAGCAGACCAAGGACATCGAGTTCTTTAATGGTCACGCTATCCAGTACATGTGTGGGGGATTTGTATGCGCTGACGGGAAGGGTGCTTCTATGGTATATACATTGCTAACGTAGTTCGAGAACACTTGTGCCTTACCAAAGTTGTCCTCCACTAATGATGAGGCAGTACTGTCTCCCCATAGAGCAGGAATATTTCCTCTTCTTTTTGTCCTTTGGTTTATATAGGAATACAAGCGTTTAGGACATTCTATGGATTCCTCAACAAGTTTTTCTTCGTACAACTTTCTGGACTTACGGAGGGTCAAGGCACAAGTATTTCGAGCCTTTCGATACTGAGATTTTGACTCATCAGTCCCCAGTAACCTAAATCTATCCCACATTTTCCTTTTCTTACGGAGAAGGATACGGACCTCCCTACTGAACCATGGTGGAGAGTTTCTCGGCCCTCTTAGTATAGTCTAAGGGATGTGGAGTGCAGTAACTTTTAAGTATAAATTTCGGAATGCGTCCCAAGCCGTTTCAATGGAGGACTCTGGGTCTATTGTCCAATCTACTGACGATGCTGAGTACATGATATCTAGTATGTTTGCTTTCCAGACGTTAGGTCTGGATTGGGCTGATGCGTGCTCGTGACCAACAGTTATATGGAAGTCAAAAGTTAAAAGTACGCGATCACTTTTACCTAGGGGTGGCATATAATGGAGGTTCGCAACGTCATCCTCATAGTGAGTCAATAAAATACTTAGTAAGGATGATTCACTGTCCGGGTCGTACATAGTCGCTTATTTCACATGTTGCACTAGGGCACATGTGATAACCCCGTCAACTAGTTCCTGATCGAAGGAATTTTCTGACGGTTCATTTGGCAGATTTTCCCAGTCTACCATTGATGCATTAAAGTCTCCTAGGATTAGACATCGACCACTTTGTGACCAAGTAATGAGACTGCTTAGCAGGACTCACTTGCCCCACAGCTTGGACTGCGATAGACCAACCCAATCACCAGGTTTCTGTGACTGCGATTATGTCTGGCTTTGTAAAGTCAATCTGCCACAATTGAGTGATCACTGGGTGGCGATCAATTTTATGCGTGTCTTGTGATCAGTCAATTGTGATTACATCTCAGTCCTACAGGAGGTCGGTCGCGGATCGCATGGCTCAGTGGTAAAGTCTCTGACTGTGAAGCCGAGCGACACGAGGTCGAATCCGCCAGACAGTACCCCGGGTCCAAGGTTTCCTGTCGACTACTTCCAAGCACCATCTAAAGAATCAATCTGTACACCTAGTTCCGGTCGCTTATTGAGTAAACTTCGGACGTTAGTGTAGCAGATCCGAAGCCTATTTAAGTGGCTTCGTGCTCCACCCACAGTGGCTTCGACACCATTCTCTGCCGAAGCCTTACAACCCGAAAATTTACATTTTGTATGTTATTTTCGCCAGTGTCTATTCTAAGTTGTAGTTCTTTTTCGGCTTTCCGTCTTTTCGCAGTCTGCCAACGGCAAGTCCTTATGGATAAAAACTCCTTAACCATTTAATTTATGTCCATTCTGTAAAATTAATTAGCGTTCATTCGAAGATTTGAATACTATTTTAAGCAGTCTGGATTGATTAGGCTTCAAGTTCGCTAGACTACCTAGTCTGTACACCTTTAGCAAGATAACTCCGGGGATATTTTGAGGCATGAGTTGGTTAAGTAGCTGCTTTATCAGCACGATATCGTTCTTAAAACGAGTTTTTGGTTCAGAGCTCTCATTCTCCTTGGTTCTATCAAAATAACTGATCTGTCACTGTGGTCAGCCTTCGACTTCCCGACTACTTTTATGGGAGCAGAATTCCCTTTTATATCGTTATGTTGTTTTTTCCTTACAACTTGCACCCATTCGCCAACGTTGCTAGTAGAAGCAACCACAGTTGTGCCAAACATACTGCGGGATTCCAGAGGGTTGTCGACGATTTGGGAGATCAGGCTGTTTCCCGCTAGAAACAGATCGAGCCTTGAGATTTAAGCTTCTAGGCGTTTTCTACTGGATAACATTTAGAAGACGGGGGACAGCAGAAACTTCTTTTCTTGAGATTTTGGTTGAGACTTACCTCTTTGAAGACTGTTTTACCTCCTTTGGTCGGTGTTAGTCACCTGTTTCGGAACTCACCTGAGTATACTTCACACCAATTTGCATGTCTACAGAGCGAGTACTGTTCAATGTGTCCCGACGACGCTTGCCGAAACACTTTTTTGCAGCATTTACCAATGAGATGGCCTCGGCTAGCAAGCTGTTTGCATCCGAACAGCACTGTTGACAAAGCCATAAGCAACCGTTTTTACTGAACTGTTTGAAAGCCGCAGGCGTTAAATTCGTGCAAACATAAGATAGTTCATGGGGAAGTGTCTAGGATGATTTAAATGATTGCGGATCTAACAGAAGAAACTTTCGCTCAGTGAGCTTCAGTGCCTGATAGTAGCAGACCACTGATGTTTCGAGTAGTGGATCTATGTACGTGAAATTCGCAGATGTAAGTATTAGTAAATCAGCATGATGTACGTGTAGCGGTAAGAGAGTCCACAAAACAAATAGTTCTGTATGTCTTTGACCCTTATACTGGCCTCATCAGTTTCACTAGACACGTCAGCGACGTTTACCACAATTATTCCTTTGTACATTATTTCGGCTAATGTGAACTCTAAATGCATAACCATCGACCGTGCTCAGAGAATTCTCTCGGATCTGAATACTTGTCCATAAATAACAACTAAAACACGAACTAAAAACTTATGGGTATTACTTGTCAGCATAGTGAATACGATTACTTATTATTATTATAAGGTTCTCATTCATATGACAGCTTTGCATCCCATGAACTTGTGTGTTTACTGTTCCATGAACCTTTTGCATCATCTTAGTTTTGTTTTAGGCAGGGGCTGACTGCTTGTGTGTTATGTGATCTGAGCAAGTTGCGTGGGCAAAATTTTAAAATTTCTTCACTGTGCTTTCCTTTTGTCTGTCTTTAATTTTTTAAATTGAAGTTAGCAGTTTATGGTAGAGCAAAATACTACGTCTACACACTAATTCCATTGATTCGACATTTTACTATATCATTCAAATCCTTGTAGTGGTATTGGTTCTAACCTAACGATACTCGAAATCGAATATAAATAACTGAGAAAATTCAAAGTCATTATTCAGAGAGGGGAGGTCAGTTATGGTGGATGCAGGGATTAATCAATCCGAAGAACATGGCTCAGTCATGCAGGCTCGGTTATTCTGTATAACCTGCTTCTCGTATCAAATATGTTCGTCGGAAGTGTTATACGTCATATTGCTGATTGTCATAATAGGACGAGTCAAGGCAGAGAATGATGTGGCTTTTATGTAAGATCGTACAGATTAGGTGTCACATCATGACGATTCTGCAATTTGGGGATTAGGTCTATTACTGTAGTAATAAAAATGTACTAGTATCAAATAAAACCATACTTCTACACCCTTAGTGCATCTCGTTTTACACCTTTTTTGTCTGTTAACGTGCATGTAGTACTTCACAACGAATATGGTATCCACTCCTACCGCCATACATCTCTCACATATTATGTTAAGTTCTAATGGTCTCTGTTCAGTCTGCATAGACCCCATTCACATCTACTTGTCAAACTATGTCCAGGCCATCTTAAAATAGTTTAACCTTACCTGATGCTAATATCACATGTAAAAAAACGAAAATATACTGACATGTTGATCATTCCTTGTCGTATTCTGACATTTC